TCCAGTGTTTAATAGGTATAACTTCTATGATTTCAGATGTTCTATTTGCCACAAAAGTTTTCCACTTACGTGGATGAGCTGATAGCCAAGACAGAACTAACTTGGAATCCGTCCACGCAAAGATTTCAAAATCAAACTTCTTTAAAATGTTCAATAGAGATCGCATTACTCTGGTCAACAAATACGCAGCACAGAGTTCTAATCGAGGAATGGATACTTGCTTTATAGGCGCGACTTTAGTCTTTGATACCAAAAGATTAACCTTAACCGTACCATTGCACCTTTGGCGACAGTAAATGGCTGCTGCATAAGCCTGCGAAGATGCATCAGAAAATCCATGTAGTTGGATAACACTGTCCGTTGTAAGTATGACACATCTCGGAATTTCACAATTATTGATTTGACTGAATGTCTCTTGAAATTTAAACCAATCATCTGAGATATGCTGGGGAACAACTGAATCCCAGTCGCCTTTAACTAACCATAGTTTGTGATATAATATTTTAATCAATATAGTGCAAGGAGATAAGAGACCTAAAGGATCGAAAATGCGAGCAGATTCTGCTAATATGCGTCTTTTTGTTATAGGTGCGTTGATGTGCAGTGTAGCTTTAAAACTGAAGGTATCAGTAGTTGAATTCCAAAAAAGTCCTAAGACTTTCGATGATGTTTAATGGTAGCGGCTAATAGAAATGGACTACTATTTATTCCGAATAAAACTCTAGTGAACCTATATATGTCAAGAGAAATGGTTTCATCATTAGGGAAATCGGAAAACAGAAACCTGGTCGCGTCTCGATCCTTTTCATGTATGAGAATCTGTAAAAAGGCTTGTTTTATATCTGCGGTGAAGGCTATTACCGAAATCTTAACAATATTTCGAATATTTCAGGGTATAAATTTGGCCCAACATGTAGACAGTCATTTAAATAAATGGATCCTGGGGCATGCGATGATGCATCATAAACAATACGTAATTTACTTGTAGCTCGATCCTCGCGTATAACTTCCCTATGTGGCAAGTAAAACACGACATCCTCTTCATTTGAAATTTCTGAAACTGGTTCGATAATATTTTGTTTTAACTAATCTCTTAATACGTTCCTGTATTCGGAAATTAGATTAGGATCTTTTTTAAATCGTTTTCTAAGTCGATGAAATCTTTGTTCTGCGATTTCCCTATTATTATTTAGATTTGATGTGTCATGTTTCCAAGGCAATCTAACTTTATAGCGAGAATTTTCATATGTTATATCTGATTCGAAATATTCGACGACTTCATTTTCAGTTGAATCGAAGTTTTCCCTCTTATCAATAAGTCCTGAGTTTTCCAAGTCCCAAAATTTTGTTATTTGTTTGGAAATCAAATCTTCCCCTACAACTACATTGAAAGCTAAAGAGACATCATCATCACCTTTTCGTCCATGTATGCACCAGCCGAAAATAGTTTCCACTGCAGCAAGATTTTTGCTTAAGCATTTAACGTGTCCCATTACTATGTTGTAATAATAATCTGCACCAATTAGAATGGCAATGGGGTTTTTACAATCGGGAAAATCTGCGAGCAGCAAATTTTTTAATTGTCTGTTTTGCTTAATTTCTTCTGATTTCGGAGGAGGAATATCTGTACCTGATATATGATCAGTTACTAATAATTCAACTTCTATTCTAGAATCGGGAGAACTTCTATGTTCTAAAGTTAATTTAACTAAGTCATAATTTTTTTGGATGGGAGAAGTATTCCCAAAAGTGTAGACAGTCAATTTTTCTATTCTTATGACTTCGAGGTTTAATCTGTCCGCTAACTCGCGAGCACAAAAACTTTTCATACTTCCACTATCCAAGAGAAGTCTGGCAAACATCCTTTCCTTAGCTGTTTTAACTTTTATCGTGCAAGTCTGTAAAAGAATTGTATTATTTGCATTATGTGAAACGGCCGAAACAATTTCTTCTTTCTGTTCCTTAGTTTGTGTATCATTCTTCGAAATTGATATACTATCCTTTTTATCACTTGGTGTATTTTTAACAATCGAACTGGATTTAAAACATATGGCTTCTGAATGTTTACCTTTGCAAATTTTGCAAACTTTAGTTTGGCGTTGTCGGCACTGTGAGATTTGTGTTTAGGGGCCAAACAAAGAAAACACCGCGCTTGTTTTTTCAAAATATCTCTCTTCTCATTAACTGTAAGGCATAAACAGGACTCTGAGTCATGGTTTTGAAAACAAAAATGCAGTTTCCATTTGATGACGCGGCTGCCATAAATTCATGTGTGGTGACAGTTTGTTTATGTTTCGGCGTCGGTGGATATCTGTTAATACCTTTCATTTCCGGTTTTGACTTGCGTGGAAAGGATAACGAATTAATCTTTTCTCGCGATTCTATTTCTAATCGGAGAAAGTCTAGAAATTTGTTTAAATCATAGGTTGAAGGATTTTCAGTATTTGTACGATGAAATTCTAAAGTTATATCGTTTCGGGACAATTTTCATCAAAATTGGAATAAACATGTTGGAATATGTTTCTGGTTTCACACCGAATGCTAAAAGGCTTCTGACTTGAACGTTAATTGTATCATAAAGTTTTCGCAATTTTGTCACTTCACTTGAACTTTGAACGGGATTTAAATTTAAGAGATTAGAAATGTGTGTATTGATAATAAGGTCACTTTGACCGAATCTATTTTTAAGAATGTCTATAGCAGAGTCATAATTAGCCTCTGAGATTGAGAGACCTTCTATGGCTGATGCTGCGTTTCCACATAAATAAGTTCTCAAATAATTAAATTTTTCGATCTTCGAAAGTGTAACATTGTCATGAATAGTGAGTGACCTTGAATGAATTCCAAAAATTCATCCAATCGTTATTATCTCCGGAAAATTTGTGAATTAACAGTTTGGGCAATTTCACATTGCCTTCAATCTGTCTTTTGGTTTCAACTTCTGTAGATGAATTATTTAAATTCGTGTTGATATTTTGAGTATTGTATTTCCTTAAATAACGGTTGATTTTAGACTTCGCTATTATTATTTTATCGTTATATTCCATAGAAGTGTTAATATCTGAATCTAATTTTGATTCATCTTCAATCAAATTTTGTATTTTTTTCATTTAAATCATGTAGTTCCGTTTCTTTACTATTTAACAATTCCAAACAATTTTCTAACTCTTCTTGATTTTCTTTTAAATACTCATCTACATTTTTAATAATTTGAGTTACAGAAGCACGTATATGTGCTCGATTCTTAATTAGTGTCTTGTGTTCCATTTTAATAAATTATCAAAGGAGACTTACCGTGAGAATTCTTCGCTTACAAAGCTAATCCAAAAGGTGAAAAACACAAATTTTCAAATTAATCAGATTCTTTTCTGGAGCCGATGCACCATTATGTAACGAAAGTTCTAGATCAAAGTCGAATCACTCATAATCCAAAAAATGAGATGCAAGGCCTGGAGGGTTTTCCATAAATTTTAATTAAACTTAATATTTACATATATACAATGTAGGCTAAAATGCCTGAATCGAATATTTAAGGCTCAAAAGGCAAGAACTGAATAGTTCCAGCTAAAATCTAAATCGAATTCTATTGCGTAGTGCATCGAAATTCTGCCTTCAAAAAGAAGAATATTTTTTCAAGTCACGTGTTCAGAAGGGGAAAGGTTAAGTAAGCCAATAGATGGACTCCTAACGCCATCTCTTGGCGATATCAAAGAATATTCCTTAACATGGGTTACGACGTACGCTACTTCTTTGATCGTAATATCATTGTGTATGAGTACTAAATTCAAGTAAAGTCTCTTGTTTTCAGGAATTCAGAAGAAAGATATTTAATATCGCTGATTAAGGAATTTTGGGAGGTTTTCTTTCTATTGCAGACAGTCTGAAAGCAGAGTTACAGTTCATTGTTCCCAAAGCAAAAGTAGTTTCATAGCTATCTATTTTAGCGCCCTGTAATTGCGTTAAACTGCAGTACACAAACAGACGAATTAACCCTGAAGAACAGAGTTCTACTGGTATACATACCGGTATAGCGCTGTAGTACAGTGTTGCTCAATCTGTGGTCCTACTCTAAAAAAAGACGAAAAGTAAAATTCAAACTAACTGCGTATACTACTACACTACAGCTGAAAATCTCAAGAGTTTTGGAAATTATATATGGAAATAGCCTATCATTTTTTTCTCTTAAGACTGATATTTCATAAAATTTATTATCAGTTACCCTACCTATGGACTTCACATTGTACTCTTAGCAACAAAAGATGGATTTAAAGCAGTGTAACTGTGGCTCTTAGTATTCGCGTACATCCGAACACAGAACAGATATACATAAATCGGCAAACACACACATCTCATTATTGTGAATAACAACATTTATTTAAGTTTTAATTAATAGCGTAAATATTATACAAACTCTAATAGCCTTGATTTATTAAAAAGAAATAAAAATTGATTCTATTAACTTAATATCAATATAAAATTAAATTAATTTTAATGATAAGTATTTAAAAAATATAAGTACACTGGTAAATAACAAAAAAATTGCTTTCAAAGAGACAAGAGTAAGTTGGCTTATTTATGCAGAAACGTTTACGAAACGTGGGTGTAGAACATACTATGTGATTATTTTTACATTTCAATATCTCATTTCCTGAGATGCTGTTCCTGTTTTCCTTTTTAGCATCTATATGGAGTTCAGTCTTTTGGCTGTGTGCCAGCGCTAGCTATAAACTCAGGATGAGATGATTGCTGTAATAAATAAGCTCTAACTATTTTCCTAATAAAGTGATCTATTTAAACCACGTGCCTGAATTGTCGCTTCGATATGAGTATAGCAGGATGCCGAATTCAAACTCATGACTTACGGAGTCAGTTGTTGATCACCATAATACACGGAGGGAGAGCTTCAATTTCACCACATGAACAAATCATTATGAATATGGACAATGATTACTAACTCGAACAAATACGTATAAGAACTTTACTGAAAGAGAAGAAAGTACCTCAGAAAGTTTATCGAACCGGGCAAATAACTCATTCAGAATTTTAACCAATTCCGGAGCTGTACATGTTGAAGATATGGCAGTAAATCCGACAATATCAGCAAACAGTATGCTAGAGAAGGAAAAAAATCATATTATAAGCATAAAAAGATAGAACAGAAATAAAAACAGAAACGAATATTTATAAACTGACTTCAACCAGTTTTACATAAAACCAACTTAACATCTTTCTAATGTATTATGAACTAAGTTCAGGGTTTGACTTCATCCTTATTTATTTAGATGTAAAATTAACAAAAATATTGAAATAATTAAAAGTTATACATATAGGTACACATAAAATACCCACAAAAGTCCTCACCCGGCCTTTATTTCTGTAGCCGTTGGTGGTAGACAAACAATTTCACTCACAGAAGTGTTTTAAATGACACACATATTCATGTTTTGGCACTTTCAAATTTAAAGAAGCAGTTTTTTAAGAATTAATTTAATCTAACATTTTATGCTTTCTAATTATTTGGTTTTATAGAATTTTACATTAGTATTTACACTATGAGATAAATGGTTTTATATTGAACATTAATTAAGTTTTAATCATACCTGTTGCGAAAATATTAAAAATGAAAATATTTAAAACTTAATCGAACAAAAATTTCAGTATATAGAAAAAACTCAACTGTTGAAAATATTGGATTGTTCAGAAAGTAATTTCGGTTTGCACAAACAGAGAGCGTTATTTTTCTTTCAGTATTCTTCTGTTAATCTTACATTTTTTTCTTTTGAGACTTGGCAGACTTTTTCTTTTAAGACTTTTTCTTTTGAAACACTTTTAGGTTTGCTATAGAAACAAATTTCGTGTATTTTTGTTTACAACTGTTAGCTTACGGACAATTTTAAGATGGGTTTCAAAAATAAATATTTTACACATATTTTCCTTTTTTATTTTTATAAAGGCAAGAAAGCAACTAAAGGATCACAAAGGGATATGTGAAGTTCATGGTGTTTCGTGTTTAACAGAACGCATGAGTCAGAATTGGTTTAAAAAATTTCATTCACGAAAATGTTCACTCGATGATGACCAACGTTCTAGCCGAAATTCTGAAGTTGCTATAATGGAATCGAAATGCCATATAACTGTGCGAGAGACTGCAAAACATTTAAATATATCGTACACAGCAATTGAAAAACACACAAGATGTCTTGAACTCATTAAGAACCTCGATACTTGGGTTGAATGAATGTACTGAAAGAAATTCACTTAGCAATATTTGCGATATGCATTTCAAACGTAATGCAGTCGATCCTACACGAATTATAAATGGTGATGAAAAATGGATTGCCTATAATAACATTAATATTAAAAAATCACAGTCCAAGCATGATGAATCAGAATACATCATTACGAAAGTTAAATTGAATCAGAAAAAGATCATATTGTCATTTTGGGAAGATTACAAAGGTGTTACATATTCTGAGCTGCTTCCAAGCAACCAAAGGATCAATTCACATGTTTATTGCCAGTAACTTATGAAGTAGATGAAGCAATCACAGAGAAAAAGTCAGAATTGACAAAACACAAAGGAACCATGTTTCCAGTATGAGACCTCATGCATATTTAGCAACACCTACGAAATTATTGGAGCTTGGTTTGAAGACTGATGTCTCATCTTCCTTATAGCCCAATCATGTATCATCAAATTATCATTTATTTACAAGTTTACTAAACTTCTTAAGCCGTAAAAATTTCAGAACAACGATGATTACAAATTGCACTTGTCTGAGGATTTTTCTGATAAATACAAGAAGTTCAATGAACACGAAATCATGAAGATACTAGAAAAATAACAAAAAGGTCGTCAAAAAGAATGGAGGATATTTGACTGATTAAAGTTCATTTTTTTGTATAGAAATAATTGGGTTTTATTTAAACAAACAAAAAAACCGAAATTATTTTTTCGCCAACATGATATTAATAACCAGTTGTTGAGAAAATATAAAATTTGATTAGTTGTTGAGCTTACAGGGGCAAGCACCTGCAGTTTGAAAATCAGGAAGATACTGAAATCTGTAAAATGGATAAACTTATAAAGTGCTACTACAATGTGCCGCGATTGTTATTAATTTCTTTACACTCACAGTGAATGATTAATCTTAAAATTCTGATAATAAAATATATAAGAATGCCACAAATATAAAAGATAGCAAAAAACATATTTTTGCACTTAATACAAAAAGATAAAAGTAACAAAGAAATCGTAGTACGTATTTTTAACTTTTTATCTGTGATGCAATAAAATGCGTTTTCGTAGCCAGCATGAAAAAAATAATAAATACGTATTTTATTTAATATTCAGTGAAAAATATCGATTTTTTTACTTTCAGTAAGTGCACTTTTCGCAGTAAATGTGAAGAATCTTTGATATGCGTGAGCTTCTATATGCGAATCCATATCAATGAAAGAAAACGGAGGAAAATCAAACAAGCTTAGATGCATTCTTTTTGAACTAAAAATATTCTGTCTGATAAAATATTCATTTTATTCCCATTATACGGAAAATATTTTCCTATCAAAAAGTCTAAAATAAACTTTAATAATATATTAAAAAGAAATTGCAGTTCACGATAGCTCACTTTACAAAGTTTTGAAAATTGCTAATCTTTTCGATTACATTTTATTTTCTTGCTAACAGATAAAACGGCTGGAAATAGCAAAATAGATTTAAGGATACGGCAAAATTCTCTGGAAATAAATTCATGTTCAGTTTATTGATGAATAATAAAATAGAAACTAAATTTATTCATACTGGATTGAAAAGCATAAAAGGTTTCTCATCTTGCACAAACTGGATGCACATATTTAATTGAATTTTGTAGTAATTAGAAGATTAATGCTTTTAGATATTACCATACCACGGATAAACCTATTTCCTTATAATATTAAAATATAACGCATGGCAATAATTAACTTTATGTTAATCGTTTTTCCTTCTCTGCTAATGAGATTTCATTAATATTGTCATTTGAGAAAACATCATTATAATATATGTTATTTAACGAACTGTAAATACTTATTATAATAAATTAATATATTATGATATACGTTGTTACAAAAATTATAAATAATATCAATTACTGAAATTCGTTTGGATATATAATATTTTTTTTCTATCCGATGCGTACACGAACAAATCGGAAGGTTTTCTGACGCGCGAGCAGGCCTATGTGAAAAGCATGGATTTTCCAAATTAAGACCACAATCTTGTAGCCGTTGTTCCTGTGCTTTGTTGATGGTCATTGCAAATGGGAGTCGCACCGGAAACCGCAAACGTTTAAATTCGAATGGCTTACTTGTCGGAATCAATGAAATACGTGGCAACAATACATCTTCTCCTTTAAATGTTTCATGTAAAATCGTAGCTTCGGTGATATTATTCTTCATTTTTTTCACCCAAAGCCAGGTACCACAGCAAAGTCGTGGCAGATTGAGGTTTCGGAGAAGAATGACAGGCACGCCAATTTTCAATTTTAAAACGTGCGGCGACGTGCCTGGCAAATCAAGTGAATTTAAGAATTCAGTTGGATAGCTGGCAAATTCTTCTTGATTCATTACACTATCGATGTACTGATATGGTGTCGCTTCACCTGGTATTTAGTTTTGAATGCTGAAATTGATGGCATTGACATCAATTTCATGTTGACAATCATGACATTATTTTTGATTGCTAACATAGCACATGAAATGAGCCTCTCATGAATTCTATAATTCTACGCGATGTTTGGGAAAACTTTGTGAATGAATTCGTCTGAAGTGCTGTGATTTTACAGAAGTTTGTTGGGAATGTGAAACATTATGTGTATTCATCGACTGCCATTTTTTTCATTCCCACTATCCGACAATTGTTTTTCAAAACATTCAGCGGATGCATCATGTTGTAGTTTTACACGCATATCGCCTTCAAAGTCAATTTCTGTAGTATATTGCCATAAAAATGATGTTTTGAGACATGCGTTAAGTTCATCAGCAGGTGTTGAACGTGATATAACTGGCAAGGTTTGTCGAAAATCACAAGACAATAAAATGAGTGCACTACCGAGCTGTTCATTTTCTCTTAAACCTTTCAGAGTACGATGAAGCGCTTCCAGTGCTTTTTTGTGTGCCGTAGTGCATTCGTTACAAATAATGACTTGACATCATTGGAGTATTTTAGCCATTACAGAATTTCCGTTGATATTGCATGTTAATGTCTCAGTAATTTGTATATTCAACAGCAACTTCAGTGTTGAATGCACTGTTCGGCCGTCATCTAAAAGAGTTGCCGCAATTCCAGAAGATGCGGTTGCCAGCGCAATACATTTTTTTTTTTGTGATCGAACCGTTGCCAAAATAAGTGAAATAAAAAAATGTTTTGCCTGTGCCTCCGGGCGCATCTAGGAAATACAATTAGCCGCTTTGGCTTTTAATTTCATGCATAATTATGTTATATGCTGTATGTTATTCTGGAATCGATTTTGGAAGATTCGTTTGAACAAATGTACCGAATTCACCAACTGTGTTTCTCGCTGCAAATCACGATCGCAAAGGCTGTTTGGAGATCGATTCGGTGCAGCCATTCCTAATTGTATCAGCGCTTTATTAGCGATTGTCAAATATATGTCCTCAATCGAAACCAATGTCTCATTAAACACATTTCGTGTGAACTGAATGTCCGAATTTTGATTCACTGCAAGCAAATTCATTGCAAGCAATTTTGCTCAGAGATAATTTGGATTGGAAGGGAAACACGTTGTCAATATGATTTCAAATAACGTGCGTATTTGATGTGGTTGAGCGGTATTCGACGCATAAGCAAGTGAAGTGTCCGAATGTGCATCGTTTTGAAGACTATTTAATTTTTGGCAAGCTATAGGATAAGTTGCACATGGTTAATGGTTTATTATTCTCAGTTTTTAGAAGCATGTTTGTTCACGTACGCTCATTAATTGCAGTTGCAAGTAAGCGCATTCTGAATTGTTTGGGTGAACAGTGTACAGAAGGTCTAACGCGTCGATCGAATATGAATTCGGATGTCCCGTAACTGCTTTACTTTGCTTGCGACGTTTAAAGGTTTTTGT